TACACCATCATGGCAAAGAACTCTAGTGGACAGTCCAGCTTTGACATAGAGGTCAGAGTGGCAGGTAAGTCAATTATCTGAAAGAAAGAAAGAAAGAAAGAAAGAGAAAGAAAGAAAGAAAGGATGCATTTTACAATATATCTGAACATTACTGCAAGATATTCAGATATATACAAATCAGTGGAGAGGCCAAAAAGGTTGAAGTGAGTGGACCTTGATGAAATATGGTAGTACAACTACTCTCAAACTAAAGTGCATAATTTTACAATACATAGGGCATAAATGGGGATGCAAATTTCAACAACTAAAATGACATTATCAGTTTTTGGCTGAAAGAGAAAAAGGTCAAAAATATATGCCTAAATTAAAAAAAAAAAAAAAAAACTTGAAAATGTTATCTGTTGAGCATTATAAGGTTGAAGTGAGTGGACCTTGATGAAATATGGTAGTACAACTACTCTCAAACTAAAGTGCATAATTTTACAATACATAGGGCATAAATGGGGATGCAAATTTCAACAACTAAAATGACATTATCAGTTTTTGGCTGAAAGAGAAAAAGGTCAAAAATATATGCCTAAATTTAAAAAAAAAAAAAAAAACTTGAAAATGTTATCTGTTGAGCATTATACATAAAAGATAATGTACCCTATATCGTTAAAAAAAGGTCCCAACCTGCAGATTACAACACATATAATTGTTTCAGTTAGAGACCAAACAATACCTAAGTACAAAAAGTACATTAAAACAATATACACAATTTGATTTTGGGTCGTGTTTTGGTTTGTAGCTTCATCAGACGTTAGCAAACCACTTACAATTATTTAGAGCAGGTGTTTTCTATTCAAACAAGCCCAAACACAAAATAACACTACATGTAGATCTTAGGGTGATCCTCATAGAGTGGCTTGACATGCTGCTTTGCTAAAGATATAGGACATCCAGGATCCGACTGTGTCTTGGTGATCATGATGCAGTGTTTTCCAACATCATTTGAAAACATTGGGAAGTTCAACAAATAGAAACTGGATCTCAGGTATGGTGGGTAGTGCAATCAGTGACATTTTACAGTGGGAGTGCACTTGGACTGGATTGATTGCTAGTTACCAAGTAATTCTTATGTTAATGTATTATTGTCATGTATGCAGGATTTTTCTTCTTTCCTACAAAAAACAATTTTGGGTCCCACTTTTTATTAAGTGGCTTTAACTACTATGCATTTAAATTAATCATTTGGTACAATGCACTTATTGTGTACATACATGTTTTTACATTGTACTTATATTTGAAAAATATCTGCATGTAATGACATCTGTAATTATTTTCTGTAATTACATTTATAATTACACTGTTGACCCATCCCTTACACCTTAACCCACCCTTAAACCTACCCATACCACCAAACCTGTTCCTAATCTTACCCGTTTCCCACCTCAATAACAGCAAAATTGTTTTGCAATACAGTATGAACACAATAAGTACTTTGTACTTATTTTTTGACGTAAATACATAGTAGTTAAGGCCACTTAATATAAAGTGGGACCCAATTTTGTCATTCGTTTGGGTGAACCAGCCGTCAATCTGAGTGAGCTGGTGCCACCCTGGCCCTTATGTAGCCTCACCACTAATACAAATATATAAGTAGTTTGAGAATGTAAGATCACTTACAGCATCTTAAATCACTGCCATATCAACAACCTCTTTGCATATCCTGTATGTGCAATATTTCAAAACCTTGCCTTAAGTAGCCTCTATAAATTATGCAGAGAGCAAAAAGCAGACCAAAGTGCATCACCACTGTGAATGTGACTACACTGTCCAGTTTATCACACTAATAATTAGGCCTTGCTGCATGCAGGAGCAGCTCTAAGCGGGTGCAGTGCCTTTGTGTCAACAAGCAACTCTCAGTGCCCCTGTAAATTCATATATAACCAAATATTTTTAATTAGTCTACTTTTTGTAAGGCTGTTTAAATGGCTAGATAAAACATGTGCCCAATATGCACCACTACTGGCTGTAAGGTCCTTTGGAGTACACAATTTTAATTGAATCCTTCACGTGCCAATTTATTACTTTCATTGCCACACGCGCCAACCCCCTACAGCTTCAAAACTGTCTTTATTTTTCTTCTGGCTACAGATCAACCAAAGCCTCCAGGCCCAGTGGTGATAGAACAGGTTGTTTATGGTAAAGTCATTATCACATGGGCTCCATCTCCAGACCAGGAGAAGGATGATCGACTGCACTACATGGTGGCAGAACGTGATTCCAACACACGTGTTTGGCGCACAATTGCCGACCATCTGTTTTGCAACACTTACACTACCTCTGTCCACCCTGGTCGTGAATACCACTTCAGAGTCTATGCAAAAACTGATATGGGACTTTCTGATCCCTCTAAATCACCAACATGGGGTGTCAACGAGCTGAGAGGTAGGTTGCTGGAGAGTAAAAACAAGTGCTCACTCATTTAATTGTCATATTACTCAATTTCCTTGTACAGTATATCATAATAATTTGTTGCATGAAAGGAACAGTGCATCCATAAAATTTAAATTGTCATTATTTTATCACGTAATTCCAAACCTGAATGACTTTTTCTTCCGCGAAAAACACAAAAGAAGAAATTGTCAAGATTTTTTAATGGTTGCTCATTTTATGCAGTTGTGAATGTGTACTGTGAGGCTTTCAAGATTAATGAAGGCTGTAAAAGCACCACACAAGTAGTTCATGACGATGTGTAATATTACAGGTCTTCTGATGCCATACAATAACTTAGTGTGAAAAACAGACCAACATAACAAAATCACGAGATTCACACATTTTTGTTGATGCATAATAGTTCATGAAAGAAATAGCGATGTCTGATTCATTAACAAATCATTATTTTGAATTAGATCTTAACAATGACTCGGGTGAACCGATTTTCAAAACTACTCTGAATGATTCATTCATGAGTCTGACTGATCTGGACTAAAGTTCAACACACTGACTCAGTGATCTGATCATAGCAGTACATTAAGAGCAAGCAGTACAATTCTCATTTGTTAATACTCTTACAGGTTTGGGACGACATGAGAATTAGAAAACAATGACAGAAATTAAATTTTAGGCTGAACTATTCCTTTTTCTCATTTCTAGTGCAACTATTCACAAGGTCACCAGCTATGATAACTCTTGAGAGGCCACCTTCCATCTTGGTTCCACTGAAATTCCACAGTCCACCACGGTGCTTTCAGCTGTACATGACCTGTGCTGTCCGTGGCTTCCCCACTCCACATGTTTCGTGGTACCTCAACAACGTCTGCATCAACTCCAACAACAGCTACTACATCACAAATGCATATGGAGTCTGCTCTATGTACATCATCCGAGTTGGGCCAGAACATAGTGGCGAGTACAAAGTGGTGGCAGTCAACTCATTTGGCAAAGCAGAATGTTCCACCAAACTAAAAGTGAGAGGTATGTAATGATTATTTCCACATTTGAATATGTTACTGCTACCATGAAATACCATCAAAAATGACATATTCCGACTTTATTCTCTTTTCGATTTATTTACAGATTGAAATTCAGCATGCTGACGACCAGCTAGCTTGTGTACTGCAAACCTAACCAATATATAGTGAATTATTTTATGTAGAGCTGCTTAGGAATAATATGCACTGCAAATGCCAAGAGATATATTGGTGTATCACCGTTCGTGATATTTTATTAGATAAAATCAGAATTATTAACTGCATATTAGTGCTGTTATAGCTATAAGACATGAATGTGAACTGTGTTTATTGAAAAAAATAAAATAAACAGTTTTCTGCTCACTTCTCTGGATGGTCATTTTCAAAAAAAAAAAAAAAAACATCAAAATAAGATAATCTTAGCAGAGGTTGTTACACTACATTTTCCCCTTATTCAACAAAAGATTTTAGATATGCAACACAAGGCATTTTGGATATCATAAAAGGTTCAAGTATGTTACTACACCAATGCAAATATCCCCTGCCCTGGGCCAAATACAATAGATTTAGTACAAAAGTGATGCAAGTTATCGATGACTTTACTGAAGAATAAACACACTCATTTTGCTGCTTACCTTGTGGCTTCAGGAGGTGTTTCAGGTCATAGGATGACGTTTGTGTTTACTCAATTTCCTGAAGTCCAGAGATGTCTCCAGGCTAACTCAAGCACAGGTCCTTGCAATTTGCCTGGCCCCATACTTTTGAGACAAGCTGTCTGGGCACGTCAAGCTTGGTAAACCCCTGTCAACGTAAAATGAAACCTTCCCTCAGGGCTGTGAGGGAAATATGCTGCCAAATGAATATATATATTTTTTACAAGGCCCACGTTAATAACAGTATGAGCCCCTGAATATTATATCTGTAAAAGCTTTATATTTAGACAATCAAAATGCAATGGTCAAAAATCACCTGTAATAATTGCGCTCAAATAACTCTTACAAGCAACTAATGCTTTAATTTTAAGAGCCATTTAAGATACACTTTAAATATCCAATAAAAATGCAATATGTTCGGTCATGTTACAAGAGATCGTCATCCTACTGTAAATGGCAAGGCCTGTATAGGGCAAGTGTCTACATTTAGGACACATGTATGAATTTAATGCTAAACTCACTCGGTTTTTTGATTGTAATCATAACGTTTCTGCAAATAAGTGAACTACTGGAATGGAACTGGAGTTCATAATCAGTTTGGTTAAACAATGACAGTAATAAACTGTCTTGTTTGTAGACACTTTCTTCAGCCAGACTTTGAGATCAGCTTCAATTTCAAAGATGAACATCAAAATAACATGATAAACAACTTTTTTTTTGCAATGCCTGACATCACACAAAACAATAAAATTTCGCTTTACATTCTGTCAGGATCAGAAAATGATACATGAATATGAATATCTGATTCATGGGCTGGACATCCACCCCACCCCAGCTTTTCAAATAAAAGCTTTAAAGTGACAGCTGATTGATTCAACTGCATGGAAGTTTTCCATTCGGTCCACCAATGTTCTTAACTGAACAAGCAGAAGCTGAAGGAGCAGCGAGATTTTAAAGGTGAGTTTTTATTTTCTTTGACATGCGGCACAAGGAACCAACAGGAGCAATTTACCATTCCTATTCACAGCTCACCCATAGTTATGAATTTCATTAGTCCTTGAACTAAGAATAAATAATGGAAACAAATGTGGCCATAAATAATGGTTTTGAGCACATGATTTTATTATCACAATGAGAAGACAGCTGCACATGTAAAACCACTGAGAGTGATATGCTACACCACACTAGCAGTGGTTTTTCCTCTTAAGAGTTAGGACAGACGAATATGTAAGTGGTCATCTACTGGCATACATTATTAATCTCTGCTATGAGAATCATTCCCATCCATGCTATCTCTTGACTTAACTTTGTTTATTATGTTTACCAGAGGATGTGTTATGCAGAATTATACAAACTTCTATTTGAAAATGCATGCCATTTTTTCAATTCAAACTTCGTTCAAAATATTTGTAATAAATCAATAGCTACTCTCGTCTTATTTTCCAACAAAACATCCAAACCTCTTGTAAATCTTGTGAGATCTGGTGAAGCAAAACCCATTTACTTAAGAAGCAAACATAATACAACTTGTTTTCAGAAAATGCATCTTAATAATGTTTTTCTTGTTTTAAACATAAGTCTAACAATACTGCATAGTTCAACCAAAAATAAAAATCCTGAAATCAAGAATTCATTTACTCACCCTCATGCCATTCCAAACCTCTATGACTTACTTTCTTCCATAAAAGACAGAGATAATGTTAGGCAGAGCAATAGTGACCAACGGCCTTGGTCACCATTCACTTTCATTTACATAAATAGAAAGAAAATGGCAACTGAGGCTGTCATTTTGCAATTTGCCAATGGTCCAAGTAAAACAAAATCTATACTCACAATCTTAAACAAATTTGCTTCTTGAGTGCATTTTTCTTGTTTTGATGCATTTCATTTGGCTTTGTTTTTCTACTTTGTTTTGTACACAGGAGATGTACAAAATGAGACAGACAGACAAATAAAGTGAAAAGAGTATGCTTTTGGATAGACTATACAGCTTGACACCAGATCGATTGACAAATGTTCAGGAAAGATGAGCAATATGAACGAAAGGTTAAGGTTAGGACCTCAGAACATCATCATCCCAGCCTTATAGTGGAGAGCCATTGCTTCAGCCACTAAAAAAAAAAAATGTCATTTCAAATGTTCTTTTCCCTCAGCAAGACACAGTTACTAAGCACCGGATGATTGTGTCAGATCTTTCTGGTTCTAAGATAGGCAGAACGAATAGTTTACGGCTCACATAATTTAGTTTTATTCATGTGTGATCTGTCAAATCTTGGATAACTGTTTCTTTCCCCTTTGGCCTTGTAAAAGCATTGCTGAGGATCCTGTGAATCTTGGAATGCCAATAAGTTTTTTACCGCCAGTTTAGTATTACGCACCATGTGATATGTATCAAATCAAATTCTTAATATATCTTTATAGGTTAACTTTTTGAAGGTCACGGCCTGATATATCTTCTTTAGGGCCATTAGGGGAAAGAAAGAGGAACACCTTTAAATAAAGGTGCAATAAGGTGCAAACTCTCTGTCTGGGGTTTAGGACTTGGCAGTGTCATTACTTAATCTATCATTAAAACGAAAAAATCACAATTATTTGAGAAATTCAGTAGGTTTTATTACTAAATGATGGAAATTATGGAAGTTCAAATCAACAGTTTTATGAATAATAGACAATAACAAGACCTATATACAGACATATTTTTTTAGTACCTCAAAAATAAAAATAAAGCACGGTTTTGAGAACAAAGTCATAAAGTTGTGACAATAAAATCATATATTTAGGAGATTTAAGGCAATGTTGTATGTATAAACTAGAAATAATTAGATTTAAAAAAAAAAAAGCAATCACAATATTACAAGATGCGTTGTGATCACAAAATGAATAGGCAACTGCAGCAACAGCAAAAAAAAAAAAAATCTATGCAAAAAGGATGCAATTGAATTACAGGATTTACCAAACAAAGAACTCTTGTGGTGCATCAGCACAGTAATTATTACTATCTGAACACTTCAGTAGTTGCAAAGAATTTAATTTATTCAGAAGAAACAAACATTCATGCTCCACTTTGCTGTTCTCGACCACATCACTTTGATGTTACTTTCCTAACAACTTTATTCTCATAATATTACAATTTTAATCTCATAATGATATGACTCTCATAATTGGCTTTACTCTCAAATCACTTACTTATAGTTAGTGTGTGCACTTTCCCACAAGTGGATGGGATCATATGCAAGTTATATAGAGACTTTGTATCACATTGAGTGTATTTTTAAACCTTGTTGTTTTACAAAATAAAAGACAAACTTACAGCAGTATGGTTGTAATGATTATATATAACAGAATATATATATATATATATATATATATCATGTGTGATCTGTCAAATGTTGGATAACTGTTTCTTACCCCTTTGGCCTTGTAAAAGCATTGCTGAGGATCCTTTGAATCTTGGAATGCCAATAATTGTTTTCCATATACAGACTAGTTTCTTGACTACTGGAACAAGGGTAAAACACATTCTGAAGATGTCACAGCCTGCAGAAGAGATTCCTGTTGGTCAGGGTAAGTTATATTTGAATCAAAACATTATATTTGCAATGGTTAACATGATTTAATTACTTAAATAAAAATACAAATGTATGTCCCAAATAAAAAATAAGGCCTAGGCATATTGTGTTTGAAGGCTTCTAGTACTACAAAATCTCAACAGCTGCTGAGTTATCAACCTGCAATTTTAAAAGCCAATCATCAAGAGAACACACACACACACACACACATAATAAATGCACCACCAAGCCTAAAACATTTATGGTAGGTTCAAAGTGGTAGCTTATCCTTTATTTTGATACCTCCCTATTTTATTTTTTTTTTTGGTCCAAACTTCCAAGGAAACATTGCCCTCATGTGGTTATATGAATAAATATCATGAAGGCAATGAAGATTGCATGTCAGCTCTATTTTGAATAACATATATGGCATATGTGTTTTTCTTATTCACAAAAACAAAACATTCAGTGTTTAATAAAGCACATAATGTAATGATTTATGCAATTTAATGATTAAATCATGTATCTTTAAAGTGGAGATCAAGAAGAGATCTAGAGTGCCTGGTGTTATGATCACCCAGTACGTCGAGGAACTGCCACGTGGAAAAACTACACCTGATTTCACCAGAAAACCAATTGCCTTGACAGTTCAAGAAGGTATAATAATAATAATAATAATAATAATAATAATAATAAATGTTTTGATATTGTTAAGAAAAGTCCAAATATATTTTTGACAGTATTTAAAAGACTTGTTCTTTTCAGTTGTTAATACATTCACACTAATTATTGATATATTGTCTAATAGACTATTCTGTGGATTTGATTAAACATGTATGTGTTAGTTGAGCAGTCATTTAGCTATAATGAAAAAGTAGTACCTCCGGGGTAGTAGATCCTTCATAAGCATAAACCTCAGAGATGATGAATGGATTGCCTTTCTGTAACTGCAGGGAGAGTGGCCATTTTCAAAGCGGTGGTGAACGGAGATCCAGCACCAACTGTAACATGGGCTCGCAACAAGGGTGACACTTCTGATCCAGAAAAATATAAGCCAAGATATGATGAAAGGACTAGAGAACATGTTCTAGAGGTAACATACCAATGCCAAACATTTGGATCTGAAATTACAACATTATCATACAGTACAGCATATTATGATGATGGAACCTCCTACAGTCAAATTATTGTTTAATTTGTTGCATTCAAACAGATAGTAAATGTGCAAGTAGATCAAGCAGATACGTACAAATGTTTCGCAACAAATCTATTTGGAAAAGCCATGTGCACAGCTGCATTGAGTGTATTTGCAGGTAGGCAATATATTTTTATTTGAAAAAGCACAATATTCAAGAATATTACCATAATCAAATCTGTGCATTCAATGAGCAGAACTAGGCAATTAGATCTGTTGTATAATCTGAATGCATGCTCACATTTATGCAATGTTCTTATAGTAGTTCCTTTCTCTGTCTTTTAGTTGGATTCAAGAAAAAGTCAAAAGATACATCAAAAAAAGGTGGATATGTTAATCCTGAAATATAAAATAAATGTAAAGAGGGGCATTTTATGTACATGCCGTACTGATAATGTATGATGTTTTCTGTTTTGTTTGATAAGATGACCAAACCAATGATCCTGAGGACTTCAGGAAAATGCTTAGAAAAACCACGTAATTGTTTAACTTCTCAATTGTCAGGGAATCAAGTGTTTAAGAAATGTCTCTTATAAATCAAAGTTACTTTTTTCTTTCATCAAAATGAAAAACCTTCTGTCTAGAATTGCCAAGAAGAGAAAAGAAAAACCCAAGAAAGAGGGAGAGATTGATCCAAAATTCTGGGAAGTGATGCTAAGTGCCAAAAAATCTGATTATGAGCGCATCTGCCATGAATTTGGAGTCACTGACTATCGGTGGATGCTAAAACAGCTCAACCTGAAGAAAAAGGAGAAGGAGGATGAACAAGCAAAGGTATTTGTCAGCAGTTTAATCATCCGATGCTGGTGTCTCACTAGATTTGTAAGTCAATTTCCAATCATTTTGAATTGAGACATCCTTCTGCAATTGCAACAGGCAATTTCTCTAATAATTTCTAGTGTTTTTTAAAAGGATATTTAGTAAAGTCTTAAATTTACTTCTTAACTCCCATTTTTTTATGTCTTATAGGTGGTTGAAAATGTTGGCAACATGAAGCAGATTGAAGTGAAGACAAGTGGCAGAGCTGAGTTTGAGTTTGATATGAAGCTTAAGGACGCAGACAGTAAAATTAATCTCTACAAAGTAAGTTCAAATGGCTTTTACACAGATAAAAAAACAATGTCATCTAGGACAAAAAAAAAGCATATTTAAAACACTCTTTCCAGAATGGTGAAATGCTTGATTATGGCGATGGCACTGATGATTCCTCCAAACACAATATGAAGAAGACTGGTGACAAATACAAGTTTAGCATAAACAATCTTGGCTTAAATGATGGCGGACTATACCAAGTGGATGTTGAAGATGTCAACATTATTTCAACGACCTTAGCAAGTAAGAAATCATTTAATTTTTAGCATTTCAAATAAAATACTTTAAAGTACATCTCTACATCCATTTTATTAATCATTTCCCTACAGTTCCTGATGTGGAATTTGATGGTATTCTAAAAGATGCTAAAGTGGTTGAGGGGCAGGATGCCATGTTTGAGGGCATTTTTTCTGGTCCTGTACCTCAAATCACTTGGTGTGCCAATGACATCTCTGTTGAGCATGGAGACAGGTACAATATCACAGTCTCTGAAGACAAGCTCACCCACAGCTTGGTAGTAAAGAATTGCAAAAAAGAGGACAAGGGCGTGTACACTGCTATTGCTGGGATTAAATCATCCAGGGCCACCCTTGCTGTTGATGGTAAGTCTTCAAGAAGAACAAAGAAACATCATATTTCAGCATAATTTTACACTGCCATGTATATCAAACAGGCCAATAATCTATTATTGTTTGTTATGCTCTATGCCACATCAGAGGACCCTAACATCAAGGGAAAAGGTCGAGGTGGTGAAAGTGACGGAGCAGATGTTTTTGCAAGACGTCTGGCAGATGAACAGGCCAGACTGCAAAGAGAAAAAGACGAAGCAGCCAGGAGAGGCAAGGGTACCGATGGGAGAGGTGATGGAGCTGATGGCCATGGTGGTGCAGCGGATGGTCGTGGTGATGGAGCGGATGGCCATGGAGGACTTGGCGGAGATGGAAGAGAAGGATGTGGAGGAGATGCGACAGGGAAGTATGGACAAGGTGGCCTTGGAGGACTTGACGGAAGTGGAGGGAATAGACTTGGAGGAGATGCGACAGGGAAATACAGACAAGGAGGAGATGGTAAAGATGGAAGTGGGAAGAGTGGAAAGGATTCTGGAATGGGTTTGGGAGCAGACGGACTGGGAGGCCAGTCAGCTGTGGCTGGATCTGGTGGCGATGGTACAGGTATGTTAATGACAAAATTGTACAAAAACTCTGTCAACATTTTACATTGCTTATTACTTAATTTCCATGAAAAACTTACCACTTAGTCTTAGACAAGTTATTATAATTCATTCACATGCATTCGTTCCAGATGATAAAGTGCACTTTGCAAGCGGCTTAACAGACAAAAATGCTCTCCGTGGCAAACCTGCAGAGCTAGTGTGTAAACTAAATACTGACAAAATGGATGGTGTGTGGTATAAAGATGGAAATAAGGTATGTTTGTGTATCGTAGCAATATGTCACTGACTGGTCACTTTTCACTGACAAATACAGAGTTTGATATTGATATAAATCTTTTTTCATCAGTTGACTTCCAAAGATGGAGTGGTAATCTCTAAGGATGGTTGTACACATAAGCTCATTATCCAGAATTGCAAGGATTCTGATGGAGGTCTATATAATTTTGAGGTAAATGGTTGCAAGACAGAGGCCATGGTGAGAGTTGGAGGTAATCATATTAAACTTTCATTTTTACATTTGGCTAGCATGAGGAAATTACTGTCCGTTTGGCAATTACAATAATCTTTTCTGCTGTATATTGCTTCTATTTTCCCAGATCTTCCAGAATTCGATCCTGATGCTTTGCAAAAGTTCTCTAACCCTGTGATAGTGAAAGCAGGCCAGAATGCATCTTTTAAGATGTCATTTCCTCCACAAGCTTCACTGGAGATTAAATGGTTTAAAAATGGCTTGGAGCTTCTTGATGGTGGTTCGGTGAAAGTGGTGAAGGAATCAAACCACAGTCGTCTTCAAATAAAAGACTGCCTGCGATCGGATAGTGGTCAAATCAAAATCCAGTTAAAAAATCCTTTTGGTTCTATTGAAGCTTTGTCAAGCCTTATAGTATTAGGTGAGTACAATATCTGCAATTAAACTGTTACCAAAACAAACAGACTACTATATTTTAAGTAACACACATCTGCACCCCCTGACAGACAAGCCAGGTCCACCACAAGGCCCACTAGAAGTGAATGAAAGCACATCCTCGGTCCTTGAACTGAAATGGAATCCTCCGAAGGATGGCGGTGGCTCAGAAGTAACCAACTACATAATTGAGCGTCAACAGGTCGGGCAGATTACCTGGAAAAGGGTTGGGGATATTTTAGCTAACCATCTAACCTTCAGAGACAGAAACGTGTCTCTTGGTAAGAGGTACATCTATCGCATCTACGCTGAGAATCTTGAGGGCATCAGTGAAGCGATGGAGACTGAAAAAATCATGGCTGGCTCTTTAAGTAAACTTCTTAAGTCTTTACTGCTAAATTTGTCATATGAGAAGTACTGAAGTCATTTAATATTTATATCACCTATGTGTTGGCAGTGTTCCATGGTCCACCAGGCACGCCGAAGGTGGTCAGTGCATTCAAAAACTGTATAAACCTAACATGGACCCCACCAGAGAAAGATGGAGGGAATAAAATCTTGGGCTACCAGCTAGAGAAACGCAAAAAAGATACAAACCAGTGGGTGACTCTGAACCCAGTTAAGGACCCTATCCAAGGTATTTTTTTATTTCAAAGCTCCACACTGAATGAAAGGCACTGACTTCCAGCTCTACTAAATGTTGAGTCTGAAAAACAACTGCTATGACAAATCAATAAATAACCATTAGCAAGCACCTAACCTCAAAATACATATAAGTGGTCTCTACCTCTTACAGATCTGAAGTATGCAGTGAAGGATGTGTCAGAGGGGTCAGAGTATGAGTTCAGAGTAGCAGCCATTAATATGTCTGGGCCTGGAGAACCCAGCTCTCCCTCTGCGATGGTCTGCGCTAAAAACCCCAACAGTAAGTCACAGTCACATGATTAAGAAATCAAATTAAGTTCAAACATCTTTACTGATTTCGAACAATCATTTTCAGTGAAGCCCCATTTCAAAGATCCTGAAGACTTTATGGTTGTGAGATCAGGAAATTCTATCAGAATCAAAATTAATTATAAGGTAAAGATCCACATCTACATATCCACACTTATTTACCTTCTTCAAAGAGAAAGAAATTGATATTCGGCACACAGGCCTCTCCACCGCCAGACATTACCTGGCTTAAGAATGGTGAACCTGTATCTCCCTGGAACAAGATCATTCATGCTGATGGCACTTGCACACTTGTCATACCCTCCTCAAAGTACTCAGATTCAGGAGTCTACACCATTGTGGCTAAAAACTCAAGTGGGCAAGCCAGCTTTGACATAGAGGTCAGAGTAACAGGTAAGCTATATTTGATGTAAATGATATAGCTGTGATCACACAATGTAAACAAGTTTAGTGCTGTGCTGCATACAATCTGTTGCAAATATTCATTGTTCAAAGTCATTTTTCATGCTTTAAGCCTAGGTGAGACCACACCTTCAGAGACAACAAACCAGAAAAGAACATGTCAAAGAAACAAAGAGTTACTCATAAGTGAAAGAAACTATTGCATAGATATTCTATTCATATAAAATAATCCTACTTTATGTGGCTACAGATGAACCCAAGCCCCCAGGCCCAGTGGAGCTAGAACAGGTGGTTTATGGCAAAGTCATTATCACATGGAGTCCTTCTCCAGACCACAACAAAGACGACCGACTGCACTACATGGTGGAAGAATATAACTCCAACACACGCATTTGGCGCAGAATAGCCGACCACCTTCTCTGTACTACCTACACTACCAACATTCAACCAGGTCAAGAATATCACTTCAGAGTCTATGCAAAAAATGATATGGGACTCTCTGATCCTTCAGAATCACCAACATGGGGCATGAACAACAATAAAGGTGGGTAGCAGGACCACTACCAGTTTAGCTTATTGTTTTGCACAATGCTAAGTACTTAGGTCTTTTTTTTATTTCCTTCCCACCAACTAGTTCCAATGCCCTCAACTGTGTCAGCCATGGTCATTTTGGAAAGGCCACCATCCATCCTGGTTCCACTGAAACGCCACACTCCACCAAAAGGATACCAGTGCTACATGACCTGTGCTGTCCGCGGCTGTCCCAGCCCATACATTGCATGGTACCATAACGAGATTTGCATCAACTCCGACAACAAGTACTACATCACAAACACGTCTGGCGTCTGCTCTATGTACATCCTCAGAGTTCGGCCTGAAGATAGTGGCGAGTACAAAGTGGTAGCAGTCAACCCATTTGGCAAGGCAGAATGTTCTTCTACATTAAAAGTAAAAGGTATGACAGCTGCAGTGTTCATTTCAATGTTTGAGAAGTGTTTACCACAGTCACCTGATTTACATGATGGTTTGTCCTTTGTGAACAGTCACGTTGCTAATAATTTTCAACATGGTTACGTAATGCAAATGGGCAACAGCTATGCCAGAGCTCTCAAAAAGTGACCTGCAGGGCAAATATGGACCGTCAATCATTTTTATGCGGTCACAGATTGATTTAGACAAATTAGCTGCACCGCTTGATACATTAGAGCACTTACTGTGCAAATCTCTATGGTGAATTCAGAAGCCCTCAGCAGTCAGCAATTAAAAATAAAATAAAAAACTAAAACTAGGGCCTAATTGTATAAGACAGATCACACTAATGTCCCCTATACTGTCCCTTTTGACAAAGCTCATACTGTGTGTACTTGCATTGCATTATCAATTGCAACATGACTTATTTTGAAATTCAATAACACACAAAATTAAGCCCGAGTACCTAGAATGAGACCTGCATAAAGTATGTTTCAGTCATGAAAATGAAAGAGCTAAGATCTGACAATTACTCAAAAAAAAAAAAACTTGGATAAACTTGGTCATTTGGATAATTTGGCTTTCTGAAAAAGTAGATTAAAAGCCCTGGCCAGTGCATTACATATGTAAATCAAAATCAAATTACTTTTACAAACAAATTTTTCTATTCCGCTTTTCCAAAAAACTAAGGTTTACCACAATAACAAAAAACTCTTAAATATAATTTTTGTATAAAATAGTTGGTCATTAATTTTATTCTTTCTCCTTTTTTCTGTGTATTTCAGATTGACCTGTACTCCACTGGACGTGCTAGTTTTTGCTCTGCTTCTGCCACAATTAATTTCCTGCATGCATTTTAAGCTAGGACAGTGCATGCATATAAATGAACATAGCTATGGTTGCAACTGAGAACACACAGAATTTACTATTATACCAAGGGATGTGTAGCCTACTACTAAAAACAAAATAATTTGGAAAGTATTAAAGTGTATATGACTTCACAATATGCAAATAAACATTTTCTGACAAGCATACTTTCTAGCATGTTGTTCTTTGAGACTTTAAATGTCATCCCCAATGATCCAGTTACAGTATGAACTAGTGGACTCTACTGGACATTCTTCTTGGACATGGTTGAAAAAGTTTCACAGACATTTATTCTCACACACATTCCCCTTCTCATTGAAATTACAGTTTAGAATATTCCAACAAGATATGCAGCCCTCAGCAGTACAGTGACATGACATTCATGTCTGTGATAGTGTGAGAACATGGATAATACTGTTTCAGATTGCAACCTGAACAGTTCCAGTCTCAGCATGGTTCCCCACAAAACCAACTCCAATGTCAGGCATCCCTGAAACTGAAACCACTATCAAAAAGCAAGTATGTAGTGCATAACACAAAATGGGAATTTTACCAAATTGAAAATATAACCTATTAATTTAAGTACTCCAAGATTTTTCAAAAACAATTCAAAGTTACATTAAATGAACAATAACAAATGGGCCTACAACAGTCTAATGTTTAGCCTATATACTGACTTACATTTACTACCACACCAATGGGCTGACTCAGATTTATAGCTGACTGCTTCAAGGACTTTTTTTTTTTCTTCTTTCAGAACAGATTTCAGATAACAATGTGTTGTGACTGAGCGATAGTATCATCTTTGCCACAGTCTCGCTACAACAGCAAGAATTGCGAATTGTGATAAATGCTCACCTGAAATCAACACTGCCTCGTTATCACTCCTATAAAAGCAGCAACACTTCTTGTACTCCCTACTGGATACCGATATCCCGTGCTCGTACGGAGCTTTCTCTTGGATTTACCGCGTTTCTGACCTTCCAATCCACACCAGCAGTTGCATTTCAAGTATCGCACATGCGCATTTGCCGCTAAGGTCTATGAAAACCGGAGGAAAATTATGGGGAAAACTTTGCTTCTTTTAAAGATTTTAGCGTTTATACTGTAGCCTATCTATGATGGAGCGTTGACGTATTTTTGTTGACCAACCCGGAAGTTAACATCACCCGTTCCCTGAAAAAAATAAAATCCATTGGCTTTTTCATTATTGAAGAAAATATAGAGCTTATCGTTATAATCTACACAAATGAACACACTTTTATGAATTCTGAAGCCTAAATACAACGGCCACAGATAAAATGCTAAATGTAAGCTATAAACGCAATATAAACATATAACAATTTTTCAAGTAAAAGCTTTTAAAAGAATTACGAGAGGGTATTATTAATATTTCCTACGTTGTAGAATCAAACTTTTAACATTTTTTTTTAGCTTGACCTTATTTCTGCCATTTGACCAAAAACCCATTGACTTTTTCACAATGGAACCGGATGTGCTAAAACTTGATTCTACTTGAACTTTCAGCGTACAAAAATATGCCATCCCTGCAGCACTCTGTTGGTATCGGGACAAAGTTTAAAGTCATAAGATTATATGTGTGTTTTATTGGGCCCAGATAATGTGACCACTAGTTTGTGAGAGTTTCCACCAAAAGGATACCAGTGCTACATGACCTGTGCTGTCCGCGGCTGTCCCAGCCCATACATTGCATGGTACCATAACGAGATTTGCATCAACTCCGACAACAAGTACTACATCACAAACACGTCTGGCGTCTGCTCTATGTACATCCTCAGAGTTCGGCCTGAAGATAGTGGCGAGTACAAAGTGGTAGCAGTCAACCCATTTGGCAAGGCAGAATGTTCTTCTACATTAAAAGTAAAAGGTATGACAGCTGCAGTGTTCATTTCAATGTTTGAGAAGTGTTTACCACAGTCACCTGATTTACATGATGGTTTGTCCTTTGTGAACAGTCACGTTGCTAATAATTTTCAACATGGTTACGTAATGCAAATGGGCAACAGCTATGCCAGAGCTCTCAAAAAGTGACCTGCAGGGCAAATATGGACCGTCAATCATTTTTATGCGGTCACAGATTGATTTAGACAAATTAGCTGCACCGCTTGATACATTAGAGCACTTACTGTGCAAATCTCTATGGTGAATTCAGAAGCCCTCAGCAGTCAGCAATTAAAAATAAAATAAAAAACTAAAACTAGGGCCTAATTGTATAAGACAGATCACACTAATGTCCCCTATACTGTCCCTTTTGACAAAGCTCATACTGTGTGTACTTGCATTGCATTATCAATTGCAACATGACTTATTTTGAAATTCAATAACACACAAAATTAAGCCCGAGTACCTAGAATGAGACCTGCATAAAGTATGTTTCAGTCATGAAAATGAAAGAGCTAAGATCTGACAATTACTCAAAAAAAAAAAAACTTGGATAAACTTGGTCATTTGGATAATTTGGCTTTCTGAAAAAGTAGATTAAAAGCCCTGGCCAGTGCATTACATATGTAAATCAAAATCAAATTACTTTTACAAACAAATTTTTCTATTCTGCTTTTCCAAAAAACTAAGGTTTACCACAATAACAAAAAACTCTTAAATATAATTTTTGTATAAAATAGTTGGTCATTAATTTTATTCTTTCTCCTTTTTTCTGTGTATTTCAGATTGACCTGTACTCCACTGGACGTGCTAGTTTTTGCTCTGCTTCTGCCACAATTAATTTCCTGCATGCATTTTAAGCTAGGACAGTGCATGCATATAAATGAACATAGCTATGGTTGCAACTGAGAACACACAGAATTTACTATTATACCAAGGGATGTGTAGCCTACTACTAAAAACAAAATAATTTGGAAAGTATTAAAGTGTATATGACTTCACAATATGCAAATAAACATTTTCTGACAAGCATACTTTCTAGCATGTTGTTCTTTGAGACTTTAAATGTCATCCCCAATGATCCAGTTACAGTATGAACTAGTGGACTCTACTGGACATTCTTCTTGGACATGGTTGAAAAAGTTTCACAGACATTTATTCTCACACACATTCCCCTTCTCATTGAAATTACAGTTTAGAATATTCCAACAAGATATGCAGCCCTCAGCAGTACAGTGACATGACATTCATGTCTGTGATAGTGTGAGAACATGGATAATACTGTTTCAGATTGCAACCTGAACAGTTCCAGTCTCAGCATGGTTCCCCACAAAACCAACTCCAATGTCAGGCATCCCTGAAACTGAAACCACTATCAAAAAGCAAGTATGTAGTGCATAACACAAAATGGGAATTTTACCAAATTGAAAATATAACCTATTAATTTAAGTACTCCAAGATTTTTCAAAAACAATTCAAAGTTACATTAAATGAACAATAACAAATGGGCCTACAACAGTCTAATGTTTAGCCTATATACTGACTTACATTTACTACCACACCAATGGGCTGACTCAGATTTATAGCTGACTGCTTCAAGGACTTTTTTTTTTTCTTCTTTCAGAACAGATTTCAGATAACAATGTGTTGTGACTGAGCGATAGTATCATCTTTGCCACAGTCTCGCTACAACAGCAAGAATTGCGAATTGTGATAAATGCTCACCTGAAATCAACACTGCCTCGTTATCACTCCTATAAAAGCAGCAACACTTCTTGTACTCCCTACTGGATACCGATATCCCGTGCTCGTACGGAGCTTTCTCTTGGATTTACCGCGTTTCTGACCTTCCAATCCACACCAGCAGTTGCATTTCAAGTATCGCACATGCGCATTTGCCGCTAAGGTCTATGAAAACCGGAGGAAAATTATGGGGAAAACTTTGCTTCTTTTAAAGATTTTAGCGTTTATACTGTAGCCTATCTATGATGGAGCGTTGACGTATTTTTGTTGACCAACCCGGAAGTTAACATCACCCGTTCCCTGAAAAAAATAAAATCCATTGGCTTTTTCATTATTGAAGAAAATATAGAGCTTATCGTTATAATCTACACAAATGAACACACTTTTATGAATTCTGAAGCCTAAATACAACGGCCACAGATAAAATGCTAAATGTAAGCTATAAACGCAATATAAACATATAACAATTTTTCAAGTAAAAGCTTTTAAAAGAATTACGAGAGGGTATTATTAATATTTCCTACGTTGTAGAATCAAACTTTTAACATTTTTTTTTAGCTTGACCTTATTTCTGCCATTTGACCAAAAACCCATTGACTTTTTCACAATGGAACCGGATGTGCTAAAACTTGATTCTACTTGAACTTTCAGCGTACAAAAATATGCCATCCCTGCAGCACTCTGTTGGTATCGGGACAAAGTTTAAAGTCATAAGATTATATGTGTGTTTTATTGGGCCCAGATAATGTGACCACTAGTTTGTGAGAGTTGCTAAGTTGTGTGGGCATGTAAAGCAGTCAGCTCCTGTGCATGTGAAATGGCACCCTCTGGGACTGCATACCCATATCAAAATATTTTTATTTGTGCATCGCTGAATTATAAATAGCACATCCCATTAACATGAGAATTTAACATAGTCTCTCAAATCTGAAGGAACATTACCAGACAAAATATATTGAACTATTGAGATGAGTGCTGTTATTGTGGAGCCTTTCAACATAACTTATCTTAAATCTTATTTTACACATCCTGATGTAAGGTCATTACATAGACATGGTGTTAAATAGTGTAGCTAATGACTAGATCAAATAGTGCAATAAAGCATAAATGAGATCCTGTTTTCTGGCAAAGGTGACGTTACATCTTGTCCCTGGCAATGGCAAATGAACAGTCATCACCACAAAAGCAACTTGAATGTCACTCTCACTATTTAGAGAATAAGTTTGACCATGAACCACGGACAGGGCCTCTGTCCCTTTGCCGCTGTAAACCTCACCCAAATAACAGATTTAATGTGACAGCTAATAATACTGCAGTGCTTGAGAGGTTTCAATTTGGCCCACTACTGTTTTATTGCAGAACAAAATGGAGAGACTGCAATAAATTGTGGGAGTCAAACACGGTTGTGTTGACAGAGCAAGTTAGCTACACGTGAAGGTGAGTTGCTTCTCCTTCCTTCTTCTTTCACTTCATTTTTTTCCAGATGAGAACCTTGAAATATACAATATTACACATTAATCTTTATTAGTAAATAACATAGAAAGCTATCTGAAAGCTATCAGTTTTCAGGTTTGACTTGTAGCCTATATGAGAAGATACCCAACCACAGACCTGATTCTAAGTATTGATGCGTATTAAATATAGGATTCCAGATGGTATGTTGTGATGCTCAGATTGCACTAAAGTGTTTAAGATGCTATCAAATAATGTTAAAGTGCTTTCTTACATGTGATTGCCAAAGTCAGGCTGAATAAAATCGTTTTCTAAGAACTTAACGTAGCAAAGGTTCTGTAGTGCTCTACTAAAACACACTGATGTTTTAACCATAGTATTCTGCTTGTATGTTGTGTGGCTTATCAGTGAAAGTGCTTTACTTTTTCACGTAAATAGTTATACAGCAGTTCTCCTCATATTCTGTTATTATAATAATTCAATATGATTTGCTCTCCTAAGCTAAAGCGTAATTGCTCTTGTAGCACATCTAGAATAAATTTATGAGGTATGTGACCTATCAAAAGCAGGGGTAAAATGCTTGTAAAATGATTGGTAAGGATCATGTACCTCATCATGGCGTTAAAAATAATTTATGCCAGTCTTGTGTTACTTTACGTGCAAAATGTATAATATCACCTCCTAATATATCTTTATTGGTTCATTGGTTCAGTTACTGGTTACTGACTAGACATCAACACAGTAAAATGGTATTCTATATACATGTACAGTGTCGTGAAAAGGTTTTTGCCCCCTTCCTGTTTTTTTAATTTTTTGCATATTTGTCACACTTAAAAGATTCAGATCATCAAACCAATTTTAATATTACGCAAAGATAATGCAAGTAAATACAAAATGCAGTTTTTAAATGATAATTTCATTTATTAAGGGAAAAAAGCTGTCCAAACCTGCCCGGCCCTACGTGAAAAATTATTTGCCCCCCCCTCTTAAATCATGAAAGAACTGTGATTAACCACATTATTTTAGAAAGCTGAGTTAAATTTCACTAGCCACACACAGGCCTGATTACTGCCAGACCTGTTGAATCAAGAAATCACTTAAATAGAACCTGCCTGACAAAGTGAAGCATGCTTAAAGAGCAACACATCATGCCGCGATCTAAAGAAATTCAAGAACAGATGAGAAACAAAATAGTTGACATGTATCAGTCTGGAAAGGGTTATGAAGCCATTTCTAAGGCTTTGGGACTCCAGCGAACCACGGTCAAAGCCATTTTCCACAAATGGAGAAAGCTTGGAACAGTGGTGAACCTTCCCAGGAGTGGCCGGCCTACCAAAATTACTCCAAGAGCGCAACGACGACTCATCCAGGAGGTCATAAAAGAACCCAGAACAACATCTAAAGAACTGCAGGCCTCACTTGCCTCAATTAAGGTCAGTGTTCATGATTCAACAATAAGAAAGAGACTGGGCAAAAACGGCATCCATGGGAGAGTTCCAAGGCAAAAGCCATTGCTGACCAAAAAGAACACAAAGGCTTGTCTCACATTTGCCAAAAAATATCTTGTTTATCCCCAAGACTTTTGGGCAAATATTCTGTGGACTGATGAGACAAAAGTTGAACTTTTTGGAAGGTGTGTGTCCCGTTACATCTGGCGTAAAACCAACACAGCATTTCATAAAAAGAACATCATACCAACAGTCAAACATGGTGGTGGTAGTGTGATGGTCTGGGGCTGCTTTGCAGCTTCAGGACCTGGATGACTTGCCATAACTGATGGAACCATGAATTCTGCTCTCTATCAGAAAATCCTGAAGGAGAATGTCCGGCCGTCAGTTTGTGACCTCAAGCTCAAGCGCACTTGGTTTATGCAGCAGGACAATGATCCAAAACACACCAGCAAGTCCACCTTTGAATGGCTCAAGAAAAACAAAATTAAGGTTTTGGAATGGCCAAGTCAAAGTCCAGACTTAAATCCGATTGAGATGCTGTGGCATGACCTTAAACAGTCCATTCATGCTCAAAAACCCTCCAATGTGGCTGAATGAAAACAATTCTGCAAAGAAGAGTGGGCCAAAATTCCTGTGAAAGACTCATTGCCATTTATCGCAAACGCTTGATTGCAGTTGTTGCTGCAAAGGGTGGCACAACCAGTTATTAGATTTAGGGGGCAATTACTTTTTCACGTAGTGCCAGGCAGGTTTGGACAGCTTTTTTCCCTTAATAAATGAAATCATAATTTCAAAACTGCAGTTTGTATTTACTCAGGTTATCTTTGTGTAATATTAAAATTTGTTTGATGATCTGAATCTTTTAAGTGTGACAAATATGCAAACAATTAAAAAAACAGGAAGGGGGCAAAAACTTTTTCACACCACTGTAAATGTTTTTTAAAGTCAGTTCTGATGGTTTTCTCCTTTTGAATTAAAGTGCTACATATGTTACACTGATTTGATACGTGTTATTATGAAGTAGTCATTTCATTAACAGTAAATAGACAGTCTTGCCAGCTACTGTCCTCGAAAACTGACATTTTCTAAAAACCAAGGTCCCTAAACTACTGTTCTATTTAGTCTGATGTTATTCCAGTTCTTTTCCAAATAAAGGAATGATTAGTTCTCTGCTGACGGAATACGGCATGATTCTTGTGTGGGTTCAGATGCAAGAGAAAATATTCACATGTAAAAATGTGTATATACCTGTTTATGGTTATTTAACCCTATATATATATATATATATAT